AGTCTCCTGTAATAAGAATTTCTGTTGAATTGGTTTCCGAAAGTTGTAGCACTTCTTCCAGGCTCTTTATTGTCTCTTGAATTAGTTTCTGGTAATTTTCTAGTGACCACGCCGATGTTTGAGGTGGCATGTATACCGTGGTTATTATGTTTACCCCATTTGTTTCTACCTCAATTACCTTTATTTCCACTATGGGGTCCTGATTAATTTCTAACTCCTTTATAATAATTCCTTTCTTTGTTAATATTGCTACCCCCCCCCTCCCTTTCCATCTGCCCTATCTTTTCTCCAAATATTATAGTCTTTAAGCCCTAATGTTACATCGTCTATGGAGGGGTCCAGTTTGGTTTCAGTGATGCATATTACATCCGGTTTATCCATATCAATTATTGTCTCTAGTTCAAGCAACTTCGAAGATAAACCATCAATATTTGTTTAAACTTTTTCTATATAATCTTTAGGTATTAAATTTGGTTGCAGGGTTAATGTTTGTCTGCCTCTACATTTTGGTTCCGATAGTATATTTGCTCTGCTTGGAAACCTCTCACCCTCCAAACAAATTAGTTTTTTTTTCCTCTTCAGTCCTTTGTTCATTTTTGTTTTTTACTTCTTCCAATTTCTTTTGTAGTGTTACTTTGTCATCTCTGGTCATATTTTCTCTTATCCAGATTTTTTTTATATTCCTCATGGGTGGCCAGAACTTTGGCTTTCTTTATTATATCAGTTACTATTTGCTTATTCAAGAATGTTACTTTTAGAGGCCGTTTCTTTCCCTTTTTGAATAACCCCAGCCTCCTGTGAGCTATGATATTCTGCTCGGCGAATTCGGGATTTATGACCTTGAGAATCATCATCATCCGGAGCTAACGCCGACGGGGGCGCATAGCCTCGTCCACCTTCTGCTTCCAACTTTTGGGATGCCTCATGGCAAGTCGCCAGGCAGGGGCCCGGCCCATCTCGAGCTCTTCCCGACAGGTTTCATCGATCTGCCCAAGCTACGACCTCCTAGGGCGTCCCACAGGCCTCCTCCACCCAGGGTTGTTTCTTACAGAGACAACCTGATGGGCAGGATCAACCTGTGGAAAACGAGCCAGGTGGCCATATAGCCTGAGTTGGCGATCCCGGATTGTGCAGGTAACAGGTCCTGTGCCAGTCTCACGGTGCAGCCGTTGGTTAGACACATGCTCCCGTCAACAGTACCCCATGATCTGGCGCAAGGACCTATTACAAAAGGCATCAAGACGAGACTCCAGTGCACTGGATAATGTCCAGATTTCACTACCGTACAAAAAAACTGGTATTACCAGGGCCCTGAAAAACAGTAGTTTGGTCCTTCTGCACAGGTACCAACATCTCCAAATACTCTTGTCGAGAGAGTTCATGACCCCTGCTACCAGGCCAATCCGTCTGCTGACTTCCTGGTCTGACAGCCCAGAGTTATGAACTGCACTACCAAGGTACGTAAAGCTCTCTGTGACTTCAATGTCCTTGCCGCAAGCACGTACCGACTGAACAGGTTCTCCTAGCAAGTCCCCAAAGTCTAGACCCAAGGGCTTCGCTTCATTACTAAATGCATCTAGGGCCACCACTAAGGTTTCGAAAGACAGATAGAATTGCAACATCATCGGCAAAATCAAGGTCTGTAACCTTAATATTACCCAGTGTTGCCCCACAATGACTTTGAACAGTAGCTCTGCCCAGTATCCAGTCCATGCAAGTGTTAAAAAGTGTTGGTGCAAGAACACAGCCTTGCCTCACTCCTGAACTAACAGGAAAGAAACTCGACAGGCCCCCACCACACTTTACAGCACTTTCAGTACCAGTATATAGGTTTGCTATTAGTTCAAGAATCCTTGTTGGAATTCCTCTCAGTCCTAGGATCTCCCAGAGTGATTCCCGATGTACTGTATCGAACGCCTTCTTGAGGTCGATGTAGGCTGCAAGCAACCCATGTCCGAACTCACGACGGCGCTCTACAATGACTCGAAGCGCGAGGATACAGTCTATTGTTGACTTACCAGGAGTGAATCCAGATTGCTCTGGCCTCTGGTGCCTTAGTAGATGGTCTCTGATACGCCTTAGAAGGATGCAGGCAAGAACCTTGCCTGGTACACTGAGCAGTGTGATGCCGTGGTGATTGCTGCAGTCCCATCGGTCCCCCTTCCCCTTCCAGAGAGGGATGACCACACCCCTCAACAGGTCAGAGGGAATGGTACCGGACTGCCAAATGGCAGCCAGGACAGCATGCAATCCCTGCGCCATAGGTTCACCACCAGCCTTTAACAGTTCAGCTGGGATGCCGCAAATACCCGCTGCTTTACCACTCTTCAGCTTGGAGATTGCCTCCCTAACCTCAGCTAGGGAGGGAGGGTCCTCGCTAATGGGTGAGTCCGGCAGCGGAATCACGGCACTACCCACATCCAAGTTAACTGTTGGAGGGTCAACCTGATACAACTGCTCAAAGTATTCAGCCCAACGCTCCCTCACCGCAACAGGATCT